TGACTGAGATTACAGATTTCTAGATCCAACCGATAATTGACAACCGTAAACCGTAGCACAGGCTATTTTTCAAAATTTGTCGTCCGTGGGATTTGAACTCTAGACCTGCCACTTGGAAAGGGTGACAACTAGACCACTACACTAAGTCGCCACACCTTGGTTTAAGGGATAATAATAAAAGATATTATTCTTAATATAAACTATAATTTTTTTTTTTTTGTATTTAGACCTCTTTGGCCTGGAAACTTTTTATTAGAGACCAGACAGCAGTCTTATAATGTAATTACAATGATGATACATCAAGCCACGTGTGCACTTTTGGTGCCTAATTTAAGTAGTCTGTCTGAAGGTTTATGCTATTTGCTGTACCTGCACCCCAATTAGGAGGTACCTATTTAAACTATCTGATTACAACTACCCACTATTGCCCCTTTAACCATAGTATTCCTCACCATATATAAGTAAATTTTGGTATCTACTCTATGTGGATTTTGCACTCTATCTAAGGACTTACTAATCACAATTTGGATTTATTAATTCTTATCTTAAGACTAACTAACCATATATAGCTAATTTATCCTCAAGGTAAACCTAACAGAGTAGTACATGTCCCACACATATATTTATCTGCATATTCCTATAACTTCTTTTTAATTAGTACATATTGATCTGCCATTCTATATTTGTATCTTATACCACCTTTTGAAGTGCTGCTATTCTACAGATGTTTCTCAAGCACCAACCTTTCTAACTAGGTACCTATTATATACTTCTTGCCCTTATTCAGTTTACAACAATTCTGATACCCACATTTGGACTATCTTCTTACCCAGATTCTTTATCAGTCCTCCCAAACTTCCAGCTAGCAACTCGGAAGAGTCAAACTGCCCAGGCTTTAAGTGCCTCACAGTCGCCCTCCTCTTGGTCTATACTTTTAGAGTATGTACTTTTTTTTCTAGTGTATTAGCCCAGCAGTTTGGCTAGTGTGTCCCCACTTAAGGACCTATTTGCTCAGTTCTCTAATCTCAGGCCCTAGTTCAAATTTAGCCTTCCTGTGGTACTATCAAAGATCATTGCTATCTCCAAACTCAGAACTTGCTAAATAGGTTTTAGTTATTCCAGTTCCTTGTATTTATTGCACCAAAGCTCCCATAACTAGATAGTGTGACCGAGATTACAGATTTAATCCTGGATCAACTGATAATCGGTAACTGTCAACTATAGTACAGGATATTTTTTAAATATTGTCATCTATGAGATTTGAACTCTAGACCTGCTACTTGGAGAGGGTGATAACTAGACCACTACACTAAGTTACCACACCTCTTTATAAACTATGATATTGTATTAAGAACTATAGATTTAAAATTAATATTTAAAGAGTTCATCAAGAATTTATAAATAATTTTTTTAAATAGAATTTTTTTTTTAAATTTGTCTATTTTTAGCTTATGAGCAACCCAAACTTTTTTTCTTATAATATAAAATTAAATACTACTATAATATAATCCTTATTTTTAAATATTATAAAAAAAATTTTTATTTAAATATATTAAATTTTTAAAAATATAGATCAGAAGTATTTTTATAGTAAAGTTCAGTCCAAATTTGATATGATTTTTAAACAGTTTAAGGGATAGTCTATTAAAGTTAGTATGAAGCGATTAAGCAGCATATACTGTACGACTTTTATCACACAAGCTGACTTGTTATATAACAAATAAAATTTTTTACTATTTGCACATTTTTTATAAATTAAGCACAAATAAATGAAAAAAATTATTTGCCTATAATACAAGTTATAAATTCAAAGACAAGTTTATTTCATGGACAGTATATTTTTACGACAGCTCATTTCACATACAAAGCAATTTTGGTCATGATCGTTGGAATAAAAGACATATACTTAAGATTAGTGTGAAATGAGCTATTGGTAAAGTATAAACAGGAGGAAACGTCCAAATATAGATATGATTTTCATTCTCCGTTACACAGATCACTCATTGTGTCGACCAGTCAAATATCACTACAGGATTAGTCAACCAATCAAATTGCGAAATTTACAAAAAGACGAAACCGTAGGATTCAAGGGGATTCAAAAAATATGTTGTAAAGCAAAGTGAGAGCTTCATGTTTGTTTAAAAATTTCAATATTCATATAAAACATAAGTCAAGCAAGCCTTCCAAAAAAGTATTGTAAAATAATATAAAAAATTTTTATCAATTGTGTAACAATTTTGTGACGTTTCAACGTTTCCCCCTGTTTAATTTATGAATGAACTTGTCTGTGAATTAATCGTGGATAAATTGTCGGTAACTATAATGTTTTTGGTGAGATGATCGAAACTGATTTATTAACTTTATATAGGATAAACAGCAAAAAAATTGAATTATTTAATAAAATATAACTATTTGATAAAATATTACAATATATAAAATGTAACTTTATAATAATATAATATTCTGATATGATAGAAATTATGATCATTGTTGGCAGCATTTTCCATTACCACAGCAGTATTGGTCCTGAATATGATAGCATGTGAATATGCAGTAAATAATAAAAGCATTGACATAAAACAAGCATAATAAAACGTGATAAGAATACAAATATTTACCGGAGGACAGCAACCACCATCTGAACAACAGTGGTGTCCCTGAATATGATAGCATGCGAATATGCAATAAATAATAAAAGCATTGAACATGAAACAAGCATAGTAAAGCATGATAAGAATACAAATATTTACCTGAGGACAGCAATGCCCGACACCACAGCAGTATTGGTTCTGAATATGATAGTGTGCAAAATATGCAGTAAATAATAAAAACATTGATCATAAAGCAAACATACCGTATAACCGCGAAATAATGCGCAGGGTGTAATTTCAATTTTCGGCCTAAATTAAGCTTAATTCGGCCAAAATTCAAAATAACGCCCCTGTGCGTTATTTCGCGGTTATACGGTAATAAAGCACAATAAGAATTCAAATATTTACCAGAGGACAGCAACCACCACCTGAACAACAGTAACCCTGTGTCTTTATAACAAAAAAGAAACAAACAATTAGTAATTGTTGACAATATTATCATTAATAGTTAATATAAACCAGTATAAATAGAAAATATTACTAGTGGACAACATGAATTCGGACAACAGCTGCCCTAAATATGTTATAATTGATTATGCAAATTTGGTTAAATATTTGTAAATAACATAAAGTAGGTTAAATAGAGAATATTACTTGGGAACAGCAAAAATTGCCACAATCGATAGGACAGCTAAAAATAAAATATTTGTTAATTATATATAGAACAATACTTTTAACAATACCTTTAACAAAAAGAAATTTGAAAAGCATACGAAGGATCTTGTTCTTTCAAACTATTTTTATGTCCTGATTGAATCTTTGCTGCTAGAAAAGATACATTTCTAGGAGTCAAAATGCTCTCTGAAACACCAAATAAGAAGAATACGATTAAGAACATTAACAAAATAGTGTTAATTGGCTTCATTGTTTATTGAGAAAAAAAGTTAATATATTAAATTTGGATTTTTTCAAATGAACTATTTCCAAATAATTACCTCTTAGAAATGATCTCTATTTATATTTTTGTGCTGTTAACAAAAAATATGGTATTTTACAATACAATATTATGCTGTAAGAAATTTTATCCGAATATTTCCATTATTTTTTGTGAAAATTCCATGAATCTGCAACATGATCAACCACTTTTCACAATCGTCTCTGCCGAATAATAAATTATCTAGTATGCAAGTCATAATCTGTCGAATAACTCCGTTATCGGTTATTCTGATACTGCCTTTACTGCCTTAAAACTATTTAATTAATAGTTGGCCTAATGACTTAAATAGGGCTCCGAACGGGTCAACCCGACAAGCATAGTTAAATTCTAAACGCGTTTTTTTAATTCTTGGCTGTTCTTTATTCTTGACTAAATAAGCCTATTATTAGGCAATGTTTTGCCTGAAAGCTTATGATTATTTGTCATTTTACTAATTATCTCATTTTATCTTGCCAATTAGGGTGATTCCGGATTAACTTATTACGAAAATAAAATGGGCGTTTAAAATTTCTATTCTTTTGGAAATTCCGAAATCTAAAAATAAAAAAAGGTATATTTTATAATGGTATATTATCATATATACTTGTTTCGAAGCAAATTCATTTCTAATTTTATTCTAAATCAGAAATCTGATTGTTTTCTTGCTATTATAGGCCCATTTCATGGAATAATGCGCGTACGTAATTCATGTATGTACATCATCAATTCCGAAGCAAATGCATTGCTAATTTTATTCGAAATCAGAAATCTGATTGTTTTCTTGCTATTATAAGCCCATTTCATGGAATAATGCGCGTGCGTACGTACGTACGTAATTCATGTGTGTACATCATCAATTCCGGCAAGTATTGTCACAAATTCGAAATTTGTTTCCTTATAAGTTAGCTGCGTGATGCAGCTAAAACCAGAAACGATGGGCGCCACTAGATTTGTTCCTGTATGTACTAACAAAATTATCAAGTTAATAGATTTTGGACAATAATAAATGCTTATCCGGCATCCTACTATGATCGGGCTCACCATATAACTCGAGTTATTTCATATTTGGTATAATACACTTAAAATAGTTCCCACGATTTGTTTGTCTGGGTAACTTGTACTAATTAATTCATTATAACTTAAAATTTTACTATCGGATAAGCTTTATACATAAACTAAGTATTTTATTTATTTGTTTCTATTGTTATTGCTATATTTTTAATTACAATATATATATGAATTAATATATATATATATATATTGTACTCTTCAACAAATGTTACTATTTCTAATTTAACCTAAAGACAATGATTCCGAATGCGATGGTTTTGAATGCTACTCGATAGTCCTAAATGAGAATGCTTAATACGATAGAAAATTCACCATTAAAGAATCTTTTAAAGTTGATCGAAATGGTGCGAGGGTGAAAGACTTTGATGCTGTTAAAATTACATGTTTACTTGAAAATTATTTTTCAATTATTGCTGAGTTACTTATTCTTGAGAATCACATTATGTTTGTTTATAAATTGTCCATACGTACGAATTACATTCTTATTTGTAATAGATTTAGTTTCTTAGTTATAATGATATTATACAGCATGCAAGTGTTCGCAGGAATACGTTATTAGTTAGCTTTGCAAAATTTAGGTTTATACGGTTATTTTATTTTATTTTTTAATGGCGATGGTTCTACCCTGAAATCCCAAAAGCCATTTTCCCGAAAGGACATAATACTGACTAAATTAGCCAGCATTATAACTAATGCTGGCTAACTTTGTCGGTATTATGTCTTTTTCGGGAATTTGGTTTTCGGGATTTTAAAGTAGAACCATCGCCGTAGGATGCCGGATAATACAGTTATTAAATGCTCCGCACCAATAACTGACGTATTTTGTGTGGAATTTGACCGGTCAATGTCTGGGCCCCACAGGGGCCAAGCCATCTCCCGATCAAATTCCACACAAAATACTTTCTGTTATTTGTCGTGTGTAACAATAAGATCGTGATCATGCCAAATAACTATATATTCATTTGTCTCTTTTGATTCTATCATCTGATATGTACTTGATAGTTTGCCATAGATCCCTGCTGAATATCAGCAGCATATTGACAGCATATTAGTAAGGTATTGGAGGTAGATCGATATCAGTAATATAACAGCACAATATTGGGATGCCCAGATGTCTTACTCTTAGCACTCTGGGTCTAAAGTAAGATATCGGGATATCCCAATATTTTGCTGTTATGTTGCTGATATCGATCTACCTCCCGATATATTGCCAATATGCTGATATTCAGCAAGTATTTGGCGGATCTATGGTAGACAATGTATACATTATTTGGCAAAAATTGTCGAATAACGGTAATCTGGCAAACGAGCACGTACCGCAAAGCGGCACGTGTAGCCAATCATTTGTCAAATTACCGTATTTCGATAATTTGCTCAATAATGGTGTTATCCGGCAATTTATGATCATGATTGGTAGGGAGTCGCTCGCTGAGTGAATACTGGAATAAACATAACTACATCGTAACACATGAAAAAACAACAAAAGGAGATTTTTTCATGATCATGAGTTTGCCGGATAACGGGTACATATTAGGAAATTTGCCTTCCAGTATGCACCCGATATTCATTGATTCAACCTGTATAATGTGCATAAGAAGCTAAATGAGATGTGAACAGCTCATATTAAATACTTAAATCGATCATTAGACCAATGAGTAATCACTAAACTTAGACTAAGAGAACTCAATGTGATTAGATAGCTATTGAGTTCATTCATAAGTACTACGATTAATTGAAGCGATCCCTACCGTAATTTTACTGAAGTCTATGACAAAAAAAGATGGCTTCAAACTTTTTTATCGTGATAATGAACCTACTTACCGGTAAAACTACTTTCCACCAATTAAAAATTGAATTTCGACCTATAATTTATGTGCTTGAGAACCTTAAATAATATGAATAAATATTGAAATGAGAAATTAATTAATACATTATAGTTATTGTATGGGTATGTGGTAAATAACCCAGTTACACACGGGGTCATATTCCGTGCCGAAGGCACGGATTTAAATATGAACCCGTGTGTGTAACTGGGTTATTCAACATACTAATACAAT